AAATGTTGCCACTGTATAACGTTGTGTGATTTATCAAAATAAAATCTTATCCATAATGGAGTTATACTCTACCACCACAGTGCCCAAGTTTTATACTTATATAAACTACAGTGATGTTTCACCACTCGAACTGAATATATTGCAAATTGTGAATTTTATTTACAGGCAGAATTATAGCGAAAATATTCTTTCAGACATTTAGAAAAAAATGAGCAAAGAGTATCCTTTTCGATAATTTCTTCTGGTGGATCTACAATTATATATATGCATTTATATACATGGAATATTCTAGAATAATCGCCATTAACAATATTGGTGTTTTTTAAATGTTATCTATTTGCTTAAGTTATAATAATCATAAAAATGTAATAGCGAATAGAATATCAAATAAAATTTCCACAATAAATTGATGGCCAAGGTAAGGACAGTGTCTGAACCAACTTCTTTTGGATACATCAGTTAGGTTTCTTAATGTGGATCCCAACAGCCAGCCTCAGCAATATGTAGTAGACGAACTCTTAAGTTAAAGTTAAGATTAATTGTTTGGTATGCGGTAGATGAATTTGAAAGTCACCTCGTTAACAGCAATCTTGTGTTCTGTATACAGAAGATAAGATGTAATAGAGCTATGAATGGATTTCGTTTGTCCTTTACGTAACCACTATGCAGGATGATGTTCGGAAATCCGACGAGAAAGACGCCTAGTTGTACGGCCTATGTAAATTAGAATTATGTCTATCTGTTAAAGTTGTTTAAAAATGGATGCGAAAAGAGAATTTCTTATTTTAAGTTGTTGTTGTTCATAGGTTAACTTATTTTACTGATAAATATTACTATTAGAAGTCAAAAGTTCATAGTTTAATTCTCAGTATACCTTTCGTAAATGACCTAAGTCAATTACAGAATAGATGGAAACTAATTAATAAATGTCGTAAATCCATTTCAACCTTGTTTGCTATCCTTTAGCACTACACATCATTTTATGGAAAATTCTATTGGTTGGCATTACAGTTGACACTGTAACTTTATAAATATACATACAATTCCTTAGAGCCTCCAGTGGAGCACAGGTCTTCAAGCTTGAGCTTTGAAGTTTCGGCAGCAGTGGTGTTTACCTTTTACGGGGTGGAGTTGCTAGCTTCACCTAGCCCAACCTCCCCTCTTACCAGGCTTAATACCGGAAAAAAGAGGTTTAAGGGTGTGTGGGCTGAGGATGAGACCTCACCTTGTGGTACAATAATGCTTCAGCAAAGATGCTTTTGAGTGTCTAAGAGGTTCGAGAGACTGTGTAAATTCACACTGGAGTCTTCCAGACTATTACGCCAATTTTATATTTGAATACGAGGAATTAACTTGCATTAACCAAGTTGAAAATGAGGAAGTTTACCCACTGATGGCAGTGAAAGATGACTGTACTATGCATCGTACCACCAGTAAGTGCTGAAAACCATGGGCTGTTGGGTCTCATTCGAGTGAAGTGGGGTTTTATTGGCTAGATTATCTCTGTTGGTTGGTGAGTGTGTGTGATGGTGAAGATGGCTAGATAAGGTTTAACTTTCAATAGCTTTGTAGCTAACATTCTAATATGAAGATGACAGCTTTAAAACAAACCAACCCTTAGAAACTATCTCATTAGAACACGATTAGTATACAGAATGCAAAACACTCCACAAAACTCTTTTGTAAAACAAGCGTATGGGACACCATGCCTAATGAACCAGACTCATAATCAAAAACTAATTCATGATGTCAGTTGCAGAAAGAACCACTGGAAAACTAGGGTGTACTGGGAAGCTGTTTCGTCCTAGTTTGGGATTTGTCACAAGCAGGACAGCTAGGGCGAAACAGCTGTTCAGTACTCCCTGGATTTCCAACGATTCTTTCTTTAAATGACATCAGCTCGCTGTCAAACTTAAAACAAATCAAATCCTTACAAAAACTAACTTTTGAGAATTCCTGACAGTCAAAAGAAATACTTCATTTCACTATACTTTGGGGCGAAACGTAAATTTTGACCATATACTTAATTTGTAAATGAGAAACATAAACATCTGGTCGCATTGATATAAAAGCTCCCTTTTATTAATGCGCGACAAAAGTTTATCACGTTTAAATGAACTTATATATTGAGTTAAAAATTTTAAAAAATAATTGTAGTACGATGTTCAGGTTATATAGGCCTATAAAATACAGTTTTAAATATTTCACAAGTTTATCAAAATGTAGTGCCAAGCTAATGTCCTCTGATTAAATTAAGACAAGCATATTCCATCCATAAAATAATGGATGACTTCTTGATTGAAAAACCAACTAAAAATAAACTGAAAGTGATTTCAGTGCGTCTCATACTCACACAAATTCAACAGCACTTTAGCCAAAGTTGTTTGTACGCTTTTTAAGCCTATATCATTATTACTTGTCGACAAATTTTTCTCCAAAATGTTTCACTTTCTGGTAAACTGAGGGTGAAAATAAATAAGCAACTGTCATGGTTTTGTCAGTGGCACAGCAGTAGAATGCTTGCCAACCACGTAGATGGTCTGGGCTTCAATCCCCGTCCGACTCACTCCTTTACTTCCCTAAGCCAGTAATAAGACTGGTTAAGAAGGAAGATTGGGCATGAGGCAACCAACCCCATCCCGTAAAGGTAAACACCACTGCTACCGAAACTTTAAGCCTCTAGCTTGAAGCCCTATGTTCCACTGGGAACGTAAAGAAATATAAAAAACTGTCATAGCTTCGTCGGGTGACCTTCTACAGATTCAGGAATTTATACTACTCACTAGTTAGATTTCATCTGGAGTTTAGTATTCAACTAGCAAAATTACACTTCAGATGTAAAAATATCCTGTAATATAGGAAGTAAAGTAATAAAATGTTTCTCCATACCTTTCCTACATGAGTTGCTAAATCATGTTTCCTTGTCATACTCGCGTATTGCGTTGTAACATGTCTTATTTGAGCTTTTACTTTGAAGTTTGTGATGTGTGAAAACGTCACTAGAAAGTCTACAAGACATTATTGTGTAGTTCACACCTAATATCCCAGTTCCTGCATCTCTGCAATCTACATCTGTCAGACCTTGCTTAGGTAAATAGGTGTCATTGATACAGGAAGTGTGTGTACCCTAGTCTCCTTCTGGCCCGCTGTTGCTAAACAGAATAATCCTAACGAGACCGATGTACCGTACAAAATAAGCTTTTAACACTATACCTTCCATTAACTTAATGGAAACTGCAGTTAGATGGACTAGTTGATAGTCCCTTATTACCTGTGACCTGTCTCAGACCTTTCTAGATTTGTGTTTGGTATGTAGACGTTTCGAATAGCAAGATGAGTAATCTGGTGATAATGACGGTTCAGAATATAGTCTATGGAGGCCTGATGAACTCTCAAACATCAATCATTCAGGTACTTGAAGCGAAATGCCTTATATGATAAAGATCATTCCCATTCCTCCAGTATCAGTAGTACTATACTTAATGTTCCTACACACATCATTAAAAAGTGTAACTTTGTTGTTTAAGTAAACTTGAAATATTTGTCACGGTAGTGCTAAAATATCCCTCAATCTGATAAAGTGTGGATTCAGTAAATAAAGCTGCAGAATATCAGACTTCATACAAATCTGTCACAAAAATTCAAATTTACTTAGAGCGTACGATACTGTTGTTTTGGATCCGTTACATCAATAATGTAGGTTACAGGCTGAAATTGATGTGGTGGCTTTTAAACTTAAGCCAAAGTGTTTAGATGCATCGGACATACAATATAGTCATGAATAGGTATCAATAGGCCATACAAAGAACTAAAATGTTTAACGTCGTCGAATGTGAGCGAATATTGTTCTTCATTATTGTTTTGAGGCAATGTTTACATTTTTCACAAGCATGGCCAAAAGGAAGCTCAAACTCTCATGCCAAACTTAGTAGTGGTTATGTATTAGTCACGACAGACTGGAGATATGGAGCAGGCAGTCACAAAAGCCAAAGTTAGTATCCAAATGACCTACATTTGTTTAATTTAAAGTCCTTCATGGATCTACAAACCAGAGAGAAGATGGGGTCCATATATGCCAGAAGAAAGCAGTTGGCTGCATTTATCGAATTCACTTCTCTAGGAATAGTTGGTAGTTGTGGAACCATGGTGCAACGCATCTCAAATACTTTTTTACTAATTTGAAATCCATTTCTCATCTATACTTCATATTCTTATATCAGGCAAACTAAGCTCACGCCTCAAATAAGAATATGGTGTGCATGAGCATGAAGTCTTAATTTTTCACCCGTTGTTGAAACAGGATAGTTAAAGCATCAATTTGGGAGCAATACAGATATGTTTGTCAAAAAGTGAGATGTAATGCAGATAATTTGAAAATTTTGTGCTAGCACACCCTGAACTCGCATGTACGCTGAACGCTTTTCGAAGCTCTTTCTTCTCGATGTTTCTGCACTTGTATCTAGAAATTTGCTGCATGGGTTCGCAAGCCCCCAGCAAATTATTTCCAGCAGATTCCACTCATAAAAGTGGTTTTACTGAGGCATTTTGGCTAATATTTCTTAAGATTTATCAAACAAACTATTAAAGCATTGTAACAGAAAGTGTTCACTAATTCCATGCTTATCTATCGGCTTTAACAAATTTAGTGAATGACGGTAACAAAAGCACCGTCTAAAGACTTTACTTATAAATATCATAAAAGAAAGTGCCTTAGTTTCTGTAACTCACTATTAGATTCAAGCTACTGATTGGTCAAAATATTCCAAATACCATTTACATGCATTTAACTACCCTCAGCTTGGTGTTGCTAAGATCGTGTCAACAAACATTATTTGTGATGTGAAAAAACAAATAATTTTCATGTCAGATTCTCCTGCAAAAAGAGGTTTTTAGGATCTTAAATTTCAGAAAACAATAAACAATACTAAAAAAAGACTGCATAAGGTTTTAGAATACTATAGTCCAATAGTTAAGGCACTTTTTCAAGTACTACGGATGACCTTGAGCATTGCTTTGGGAACGGTGATGCAACTATGTTGGTTGACTTTTAACTGTAAGTGATTCTTACTGTCAGTTTTTGTGCTAATATGTTTTCACTGAATTCAACCTGTTTTTTCTGATCCAAACTTTTCACGAAGGATCTTTTTCTTCCTTTTGATCAGGGGCTTTGCTACCTATTTCGCGAATATATATTCCCTTAAAATATTATTAGGAATAACTGATCTATTTTCCCATACCAAATGTTGACTCTGTCCAAAAATATTACTTTGTCATAATCGGTATGATTGTTCAATCCACCTTCATGCACATTAGTGCGCACTCATGATTTAAAGTGACCATCTCTACTCTTCGTGCAACAGTACATAACTGTCTTATGAAGTAGCAGCTGAAAAATGATGTAATTATTGCAGTTTGTTCACGAGTACTCATACAGAAAAATAACTCCTGATGTTACTGGTACACCTACAACATATATATATATATATATCGTTTACAGATAATTTGGTTTGTTTTTATTCACACACCTTATAAAGTGTTAAACATCAACACAAATGAATGTGTGAGCACTGTAAAACATTAAGCTTTCATAAAAATGACAGTAATGCTTCTAAATGTTATTCATTTCATATACTTGTGCAAACTTGATTTCAGATTTCATGCCTGTGTTAATCGTTTTCTTTTAAGTGTCAGTGTTTGCCTTATTCCTTTTTGAAAGGGTTGGCAGACATCACTGCTTTTGAGATTTGATTACTTGGTGAAATAACTAGTACACCACAGTGATATGGTTCCTCCTTTGCTTTTGAACTCTAGTGCTATGTCGTCTGAGATGTTCGGACGTGGTGGAAGAGCAAAAGAGAAGTCAGGTTAGGCTCACAGTCAGATTCAGGTAATAAGGATAGAAGGCTCTTGTTACCTATCTTGGTCCTTGTGATATATATTTCTGCAGAGATACAGTTTCTCTTTGAAAGCGTTCACCGATGGAGCTGTTACTACTGAATCAGGTGAGGAGTTCCAGTAGTTGACCACTCTGTGAGAGAATCCTAATTCCACACGTATTTTATTTGACCTCGTTTTAAGCACCTTCTTGTGGTGACCTCGTAAGTGTATGCTAGAGGGAGAGAAAAGGCTTGAAAGATCAATCCCTAAATCACCCTTTAATATATATACGGTATGCCAAAATTTCACTCCGTTACATTCACTCCACTTATTTCTGTAACCATTTTTATGGCCAACAAATTTGCATCAATGTATAAGCTTTTGGAAGTAACGTTGACAAATTATTTTCAAGTTTTCGAAGCCGGTGGCTTATGAAAACAACAGTTATTGGGTGAGATTTTTCATTATGCACAGTATTGTGTTAATGCATTTAATTATGCAGATAGAGAGTGATGGCTAATCTGGAAGTGAAGTTGGGAAGGATAGGTTCCACGGAATCATAATAAAGCATTCGATGAATAACCTTATGCAACCGACACTTTAAGGTTGGCTTTAGATAGCAGTAACTTTAAATTCGACAGGTAGTGTTTTCAGTTTCCATGTGGTACGATCTTAGGTCAAAGTTAAATTATAAGCACCACTAACTACCAATGGAGTACGACCGTACCACTGACCCTAAAACACTCACTGAGCAAGTTAGTGAAACCTGGCAAATAATGTCGTCATCACAAATAAAATATGCTCATCGAAGTGTTATGCTATTAAATGGGATTTCTAGTAAGTTTCAGCTTAGGTTTGGGAAAGATTAAGTTACGGTCTAGACCAAGGAAAAGTTAGGGTTAGGTTAACCTAATAAAGGCGATATTAAGGTTAGTTCAAGTTAAATTAGGGTTAGTTTAGGCATATTTTCACGTTAGGACTAGTTTTAGGAAAGATTAGGCTTGTTGTTAGGGTTAGAAGACCCAAATAATTAAAAAAAATAATTAAAAACTGTATAAAAGTGTTACAGAGGATAACTTTCTCCCACATTTGATAAAATTAGCTCTGTTTTAGGTTGGAGTATCAAAAGAGTATAATTCCATTGTGGGTAAAATTTATTTTGATAATGTCTCACGGTGTTATACAGTAATATTTACTGGACAATAAACTGTGCTTGAAACGTCATCAGTAAATGTTACTGTATAACACTGTGAGAATTTTTTTAAATAGATTTTACTCACGACGGAATTATACTCTACCACAGTGCACAAGTTCTATTCTTATATCAACAAAGTAATTTAACCACATTCTATGCATGTAACAATAAGCCTAATCTTTCCTGAACCTAACCCTAACGTGAAAATATCCCTAAACTAACTGTAATCTAACTCGAACCAACGCTAATGTCGCCTTTATTAGGTTAACCTAACCCTAACTTGTCCTTGGTCTAAACCATAACTTAATCTTTCCCAAACCTAAGCTGAAACTTCCCAGACATCCCATTTAATAATCTAACACTCTGATGAGCCTGTTTAATTGATGATAATAACATTGTCTGCCAGGTTTCACTAACTTACTCAGTGAGTGTTTCAAAGTCGTCGGTGCGGTCGCACTCCATTTGGTAGTTATTGGTGCTTAAAGTTTGACTTGTCCTATGCACTTTTTCATTTATATATTTGTTCCATACACAAAAATGCCTCCTCCACATGATTGGTGCGTTCGACGTCATTTAGTAGTTGACGGTGCTTAAAGTTTAACTTTGCCGGTCTTAGCAACATCCACACTCATTTGAATACAATACTTGCTATCCGGTAAAAGTTGTTTCGTTCGATAACATGTGAAATATATCTTGTTTAATTTCTGAATACTTTTCATTGCTTGTTCCCCTTCATATGTTTATGTTTACAGTGAAGCATATTCCAATTTCTATGTTGTAGTACTTTCGATCACACTATTCTCTCTTCATAAAGTTTGTATTATTCCTGTTGTTTCGTGACTACATACTGTAAATTTGGCACTTCTGTGTCCAGGACTTGTTGGGCTTCCATTCATTAAACTTCATGATTTCATTATAGCTTCTACTCATATACCATATATCGTAACTTCGAGACTGTTACGGACATCTCTAACAAAAGCGGTTTTCTTGGGATAAGCTACTCAGTTTAGCATTAACCTACTTATTACTATAGTTGGCAGCCATGGACAGTAATACTAAATTATGTAAACGCCCGTTATAAACTTGATGTGAACACCTTTCGAATGATAGTTTCTTCCAGCTCTGTTAATAAATATTTATACAAGTTTTCTAAATACCAAAGAAGAATCGAATTAATTTACTTAAAAAAGAACGCAAAAAACAGTCATCCATACAGCTTGACTAATCCCTAAACTGTTTTGCTGATTGTTTTTGGAAGACAGAACCCATTGTCTGAATTATTCGATGTGTTTAGATTGTGATAGAGATCAGCAGCCGTATTTAGTACATGAATACAGTGGAATAATGGTCTCCTGTGTGTTAATAAAAATTGGCGGTGAAATTATCACATTTTCCACCGACTTTTTCATGTTCTTAAATACATATTGATGTTTTTTTCATAATTGAATGGCATTCATAATGTAAGGTACCTGGTGCATTAACTGGATTCAATTGCTAGTTTTAAGTTGTGACTCAGAATCACCGTGTACCTTTCTTGTTTTTCATGGCGTTTAATCTTTTCATCTAGCTCAATTTACTTATGTAAATACTAAAACTTAAAACAGAAATAGCGCATTTTACGCGCGTCAAGGTGTCGCATTTGATGAAGACTTGTAAACTTTTTGCTGACATAATAATCTTCTCAAAGGCTATGATGAATCTTTGTTTTGGTTAAATATTGTACTCCGGCTCAATTACATCTTCGATACCGTTTCATATTAACCCATAATGTCAAGCAGTGCTGTACTGTTGTTTTTTCGGTGTAGTTGTGTTCTCTGAGTTGGATGCTTTATAATTGCAAATCTTCTATTATCGTACTAGACAACATCTTCAGCTCAAACTTAATTTTAAAGCGTGTATATGCTTCGAATGAAGTGTGCAACTAAACAATGCAGCTCAAAGGAGACAACTATACTAAAATCTTGGACCTCAGCTACAAAACTCCATTATATCTAGTACTCTAATGATTGAAATATTGATTTCTCAGGCATTTAGTTTCCTTCTGTCTGTCTGTTAGACCAGGAAGAGGGTGTATTGCTCACATCTTCACCGTTCGACAGATTCTGGAACATAGGCATACTTACTGGCGTCCAACAGTCGTAATATTTCTTGACCTAAAGGCAGGATTCGATTCTGTCGACCGAGAGGTACTCTGACGATGCTTGGCTGTAAGAGGAATGCCGAGAAAATACATTGTACTGATGAAGGCACTCACTCTACTCGAACTCATGCAGTCAGCCAGGTGAGAGCTTATGTCGAGTTGTCATCTGAAATGGTGACGATTAGTGGTGTCCGTCAACGATGCCCACTATCCCCGTTTCTATTCAATTTCATCATAGATACCGTACTAATGGACTTAAACCTAACTGATTTCAGAGGCTCAGGGATTGCCTTGTTACTGTCAGGGAATAATCTCGTTGACTTAGAATATGCATGAGGATGATATAGTCCTTGTGGGTGAAGATGCTGACAAAATTCAGAGTCTTCTGAACATCTTGAACAGAAAGTAATCTTTGAATGTTTGGCATGCGATTTGCTCCCGCCAAATGTAAGATGATGGGGTTACAGGACTGGACTACACTGTCTCCCAGATTAAAGATAGGGAGTGAAATGGTGGAGTGTGTTGACCACTTCACATATTTGGGAAGTTGCATCAGCCAACGCCAGTGGGTTGATCGCTGACGAGATCTCAGCACGGATATAGAGGGCTAGTTTCGCATATGCCATTTTACGCCGTCTCTGGCTTAGTAGACGTGATATCCGGCTGGATGTCGACCAAAGGGCATGTGTACTGCACACCATTTCACTCCGGCCTCTTTTATGGCTGTGAGACCTGGCCATTGAGAGTGGAGGACATGAAAAGCCTGGCTAGCTGTCTTTGATCATAGGTGCCTGCGTTCTATCTCCCGTGTTAAGTGGTATATTAGGGTGTGTAATATTGA